AAAAAAAAAAAAAAAAAAAAAGCCAAATCAACAACCAACAAAAAATGTGTCCAGAAGTTGGGACAGGCCATTTTTAGGTCAGAGAACAGTTCTTGGGCAGTTTTAATTAGATACAAAGAAGCAACCAACAGGAGCACTTGTAAAGTTGATTTAGACAAAGATTTCTGCAAAACACTTAATTTTTTGTTGACACACTTAAGAGTTGTATCAACAGGAACGAGTTGCCAGAAAGTGAGAAAAGTGCATTTGCAACAAAGTAAGTGTGAACGGAAACCTATCAGCCAAATTCTCCAGCCAAAGGAAGAATAGTAATCCTACACAGGCTGCTTGCAGGTTTTGAAATAAGAATTCTACATGCAGCTGCAGCTTTCTGATCCATGAAGGTCCATGAAGGTCCATCTACATAACTGGTTATTTCAACACTACAGCACTGGGGAGATTGCTACAAAACAGGTAGAGCCACTCACATCATACTTTTGGAGATGGAAGAAGTGATTGGTATTCTACCTGCCTTGGCTCTTAAGTCAGTATACTGATTTAAATGTGACAGCTGTAGCTTAGCTACCTTTGTCACCAAGAAAAYCTCACAGACAAAACACACAAAAAAATTGTGAGTTAAAATACTTGTCAACAAACACTAATTGTTGCAGAAAAAAAGTTCTTAGGTTATAATCCTATATACGTACCTCTAGTGTATTTAAACATATCAGTAAACAATATGAAATGCACATCTAMCTCTGTCAAACAGAAATCACAAATGGTGATTAATTCATGCTCTTGAGGGTGAGAATGTGGGAAATCAGAATAAAATAATCAAAATACTTCTAACTTAYGACTTCAATAAAGATACAGCCACATTTCTTGAGGCTTGAGAAAGCCTCAACCTATTAATTTGAGAAAGTTAATAGGTTCACTACACTAATGAACTCCCCTGACACAAGGTATTCTGACATGGGTATTTAGAGAATTCCAGTAAGTCTTTAAAAGAAGTTATAAATAATTATTTTAAAAAGCATGATTAAGACAATATTTTATAGTTTGACTGTGAATTATACATTATAGCAAGAGGTACTTTATAGACAGGCTGACTCATTGACTTATTGCGATAATTGTCAGTTTAAGAAGTTTCTGAATTTATGTCAAAACTGAAATTATAATCACTTTAAATTTAGAAAATACTAAGCAAATTTCCAGCTTAGACTTTATGCATGCTCAAGATTATATAAAAAGTTGCTTTACCAAAAAAAAAAAAAAGTCTTATTCTATACTGTAAGGCAATATAATCTAAGGTAGCATTTCATAAACATTGTCTGTATAGAAAAGTAGTTGTGGACAGAAGGATGTTATGAAATCACTARCTTGGGATTCCAGGACTGGAGGTATGCCAATTTAACAACTTTTTATGCACATTATTTAGGATTCTTTCATCATTTTCTTTACTTCTGAGCAAAACTATCAGATAGCAGCTCTTTAACTTCAATTCAGGCCTAGCAAAGCAAAATGTTCAACTATGTTACACAGAGGCAACTATGTTGCACAGTTAGATCCAAGTTATACACCAAGTTACTGCTTTAATCCAGCAAAATATACACAAATATCATAAAAAAATCTATTTCTAGTAGCCAATAGAGAAATATATTTTGAAGTCATTACTGATGATGATCTTTGGAAACACTATCATTGGCTCAACAGCCTCCAGCAGCCAACTGACTGCTTACCTGTTTGATATGACTCGTTTTCCTATCTCCAAATCAAAGTATAGTAGTATATGCTTTGTGAAAAGAGTTCAAAGACAGAAAAAACACATGAAAGAGGTACAGTTCTGCTTAGTTTTCTCTAAACTGCAACATAAATTWAAAAAAAAARRRRGAAAAATATCATTTAGCAATAAAACAAAGATGATAGAAAACATCTTGAGAAAGACATTAAACAAACAAAACAAACAASCACACTCTGAAAGTTCAAAGCAGGACAGCTGCAACGACACTATTCTGCAAATCCCTGAGAATCTGGCCTTACACACAGAACTGAAAAGTTTCCACACCTACTTCTTCTAGGTATAAGACTTCACTCATAGCCCTCAATTTTACTATTTTCAAACATTTGAGATTAATCCAGGAAAATTCATGTACTTGTGAATATTTGCAGGGTAAGGGGGAAAGAAATCTACTCATTTTTCAGAGGGAACAAATTTCAAATTTCAAGGATAAACAAATTTCAAATTGTTAAAAAACAGCAATACAATCTCTAAATTGAAAAAAATGAAAGAAAAAAAGAAGCACTCGCCTGACATCTGAATGCTTTTGAACAAAGTTGTCTACACCAGAGAAACATTTAGCTTAAATCTGGGTCCTGCCTTTCCTATTCTAAAAAGATGAACCTATCAAGTTATAAATATATGAAAAGTCAGAGYGCACAAATAACCAACGTTAGTTGGTTATACAGGATAATACATATTTGTTAAATTTTCCAAATTTACTAATCCATCTTGGGTAGACTATTAGATTCTTCCTTGGTATGGTTTCTTCTGGCTGACGGAGGTTACTAGGCAGAGAAATTGTTTGGAAGCAAATCCTTTTCTGCACTCTCCTCTGTGTCCAGGAGAATGAGAAAGTTGACAGGAACCCAAGTTGAAAGGTAAGAAGGTCTCAGCAAGCATGGACAGGTCAGAGTGTGGAAGGAATAAAACAGAAAGCACTTTTTTGGGATGTGATTTGTAGTTAATACAAATCAAGCAAAGCATCATTAATCAAAAAAAAAAAAAAAAAGTATACTAAGGAACTGATCTGTGTTAAAACTACCTCACAGAAGCCAAGACAGCTACATTAACCTGACCCTATTTGATTTATGACCAAGCAGCAAGGCCAGAGTAAGRAACTTAACTAATACAAGGGAGAAGACAGGGACAAGAGATAGGGACAACGATACTATGACTTCTGTTAGTGGCAGTATCACCTTAACCCAGGTTCAAGCAATCATTTACAACATTAATTCAACCTTTCTGCAGACGTACGTCTTGTATTTGGGCGCTCTTATATGCAAAGCTGTGAGTACAGAAGTGCATCAGCTAAAGTCTGACAGTTGCCAGACTACTCTTCCTTCCCTAAGTAGACTGCTAWTTAAACATACTGCCTATCCCAGTGGGATAAGGATGGGCTTGCACTGAGTCACACATGACCTGATGAACGCCCTCATTTACTGCACAAGCAGAAATGCAGGTATTTGGGAAGCACTGGAGTACAAAGAGAGAGGGGACGATCTGAGGGGCTTCAGCACAAACTAATACTGAAGTCTCTCCCAGACACCACAACAGAGTTCCTACGTACTGCTGGCAAAAACACTAAACTGAAGTCTTCATGGAAAGCCAATCCTTGTTCTTTGTTTCTATCATTCAGTTGAACATATCTCTATCTTTCTGCAAACGTGATCTCCATATTCTCAAATGCAACTGACAGCAATGCAAACTGTATAAAATAAACTAAGCTCTATAAAGATGCCCAGGTACTGGGCTCAGAAAAATTGGGCACCATCCATCTCAAGACAGGTGCTTTAATGTATTGTATTTCTGATAAGTAACTACCTAGATTAAGGGAAAAATTCCTTGCAATAGATTAAGAAACTGGGATCATATATTGAGCAAACACAAGCCAATTACTGTGTTTAGCAGCAGCAGCATAGTGAAATCGTACTTCCTGTGGCTTAAAGTTTCATAGTCGGTTTATCAGAAGGCTAGTAAGATCGAAACTCAAGGTAAAACAAACCACACAAAGCATACTCTGATGTTTAGTGAGACTTGAGAACATATCTCTAACTGAAGAATATTTTTAATAGCATCTCTTTTCTACAGCCACTGAATATAGGAAAGGCTAATATTTCTCCGATTACTAAATGCCAAAGTCTGCCCAGAGATGGAAACATTACCAAGGCCAAAGAAAGAATGTCACACTATGTGCTACATTTGCTTGATGACAACACCAGCATTGCTCTGCTCCCACCCTCTTAATTCGCCTTTTTGCTTCACGCTGGCACTGACACTCGCGCAGCCATAAAGTGAATTGGCCAAAACYTTTCTCAACTAAAATTAGGTTTCAGCCAGAAACGCTCCCTGAATCAGGAAAACACACAAGCACCTTGGCCATTGCAGCAAATGGCTGGAACCTCCACACTAGAGCAGGGGGCAGGGTTGTGACAGCAATGCCAAATTTGAGTTTAGGCTGATGCGAAACTATACAAACAGTATTCCTTGGGAACGCAAGCTGAATTATCAGCACGCGATCCATGCATGTATGCCTGCCTTAGTATTTAATCAATTAAAACACAATCCATGAAGCTCTGAGATATGTTCAGTTACAACAGACTCTATTCCTTCCTACTGGAAGGTCACTAGACAGGCCAGGCGCTCACGTCTGGCCGCATCACCCTCTCCCACAGGGCTCTGGGCAGTCGCAGCACTCAGGGCTGCCAGGGCTGAGGCGCCGCGGCCCCTCGGCGGCGCCTTCCATGCAGCGGGACGCTCGCCCGCCATTTGCGCGCCGGCGTGCAGCCTTCCCCGGGGGCGCCTGACGCAAGGCGGCCGGCCGCGTGCCCGAGGTGAGCCCCGCCACGTTACCTCCTCTCCCCGCGCGGGCCGCGCCGCGCATGGCCGCCGCCTCGGCGGGCGCCCGGCTGCGGAGCGAGCGATGGCGCGGGAAGGCGCCGGGACAAGGCGGGAAGGCGCCGCGCTGCCCCCTCCCCCATGGCCGCGCCGCGCGCGCCGACCGTTAACGGTCGTAGTCCCCCTCCCCCGCCCTTCCCCCGGGCGGGCGCAGCGCGCGCCACCTCCAACGGCCCGCGCGCGCCTCCCGCCCTCCCGCGGCGACGATGGACAGGCGCGACAGCCAACGGGAGGCGCCCGCCGCGCCGCGGCCGGCCAATGGGAGCACGGGAGCACGCCGCGGGGGCGTGGCCCTGCCGGCCCCGCCGGCAGCGTCGGGGCCGTTGCAGGCGATAAGGGAGCGTTTTGTGCGCGGCGCCAACGGCTCCCGGCCGCGGCGGAGCGGAGCGGGCGGCCTTACCCTCACCCTCGGCGGACATGGCTGGAGCAGGGGCGGCGCGGGGCGAGGCGCGGCTCCGGCGCAGGCAGGTGTGGCCGGAACGCGCCGTTGGGAACGGAAGCAGCTCCGCGGAGGCGAGCGAGAAACTGTTTTGAAGCAGTGCGGCTGCGCGCTGCGCGCCGCGGCGCGCCTGGCAAACGGGAGCCGGGCGGGGGCGGCGCCGCCTCCGCCTCCTGGTCGGACGGAAGCGGCTCCGCGGAGGCGAGCGAGAAACTGTTTTGAAGCAGTGCGGCTGCGCGCTGCGCGCCGCGGCGCGCCTGGCAAACGGGAGCCGGGCGGGGGCGGCGCCGCCTCCGCCTCCTGGTCGGCCGCCTCCGCCTCCTCGTCGGCCCGCGCCCGGGCCGAGGCGCGATGCCGGCCCGCGCCTCCCGGCGGCGCCCCCGAGCCCCCGCGGGGCTTTGTCCGGCGCTCCCGGAGGCCGCCGCCGTGTGGCCGGGAGCTCGGCCCCTTCTCCCGCCAGGAGTCGGGGGTCCGCGCTTGCTGTCCTCACATCTGTGCGTGAGGGAAAAACGGCCTCCAGCTGCCCGCGAAAACTGCTCCTGCCTTGTGGTGCTACCCAGTAAGAGCATAAAGCCCCTGGGTTTCGATTAGGTCAAGTTTTCATCCATTTCATCCATGTATACGGATGATCTTGAACTTTCTACCAAACGTTTGCAAGCGTATCATTTCCTATTTAGTTCCTATTCCCGTTTAAACCTGGAAGATTTAAAAGCTCTGCCTTCTGTTTGTCATTTAACAGTGTTTCTCTTTGCTTTTAGTATTGTTGAGAAGGAGAGAGTAGCTGTATTCTGCACAGCTATTTGCTTACCTGTGAGAAAGCTTCTGTAATAACTACATCTGTATTAAAGCAGTAGTTACAGGCTTAGCCTTATGTCCTCATAAGCACTTTGAGAAAACCTGGAGGGTCACTCCGTGTTTTCTTTATCCCTGGAGGGTCACTCCGTGTTTTCTTTATCTGTTATGTGCTGCAGGCAGGATTTAAAGCCTTTCTGCTCTTTGAGATTGGTAGCAAGGTGGTAGGCAGGCATCTTCAAGGCCAATGTGCAATCGTGTCACAATGTATGATGTGGCTACTTCCCTGTGCAATTGCTTCTTCCAAAAATACACAGCAAACTTTTTTAAATTTTACATTTTAAAGCACTGTGTTGGAAAAGCATTGAATAAATTAAGACTTAACTTTCCTGTAAAGCTTGAGGTCATTGGAAAATGACCAAGTAATAGGCAAACACGGAAAATGTTATCTTCCTTTTTTTTTTTTTTAAATCTGCAGAAACCAAGAAGACTTCTTTTGTGATAGAGCAGTATGTTGTATGGCAATAAGGAAGCAGATCCTGAAAGGAAAGGTCTGGGAACAGGCAGATCTTGGAAGGCATCAAGGCTGAAGATAATCGGGATTGTTTTGATGTTTCACCTGGCTTCGCTGTGTGAAATGCCCAGAATTGCACCACATTATTAGGATAATACAGTTTTGCCCCAGTGCTTAGCAGGGTATGGTCTGTATTTCGTTCACTTTGCTTTGGATCGGCCCTTAAATTACACACCAAAATCATAAAAGTGGTCAAGGCACGAAGTCAAAGAAAGGGCTCCAGATGATTCCTTTTCATCTCTTTAGCATTTTAAAGTGTTCATAAAGACATTTGTGTTTGTTACCTGCCAAAAAAGAGGTGTCTGACTGCTGCTGAGTAAGCCTATAATGAGCACCAGAAGGAGATGCTTCTAAAAAGGAGCAGAAAGAAATACCTTTAAAATGGTGAGGATGAGCATGAGATGCTAGTAGTAACACAACAGTCCGGTACAGGTTTTTAAAATAAGTTCAGGAAATGAATGCCATTTTTGTTCAGATTTTGTTCAGATATTCATAGAAACTTTTCATGCAATGATTTTTTTTCCAGCTTTGTAGGTTTGTTATACAACTAAAAACTAAAAGTAGCAAACGGGTCAAGCTACAGTTTATAACAGGGTACCTTAATAATTTTCTGTCTTGGTGAAAACCATAGTGGGAATTTCCACAGGAAACTCACTGGATGATTGCTTATTTCGCAGATGGTTGTTTTTTTTCATGGATATAAAAAGGGACCAGTGTAACTCCAAATCAAAACTATTGCAAAATTGTTACTAGTGGGGTAGGCTTATTTTTTCAGGGGGAGTTACCAAAAAGGTGTTTATTTTTCTACTTCGTTAGTTAACATCTTACAAGTTGGTATTGAGAATATTGCTGTGGTGTGGATGAGCAGTCTGAGCTGATGCTATATCTACTGGAGAATGTATTTCCTCCTGTTAGTTTTGGGGGGAATACAGCCAGGTGATATGATGGTGAAAATCTTTCCACCTCTCCTAAACTAATTAAGACTGACTTTTTAAGTCAGTGGAGCTGGATAACCAGCATTTTGAGAACTTTGCGAGATGTTTGAAGAAGGCTTTTTGACCAATGATTTTGGGCACTGGAAGAGTTTGAGGTGAATTCCAGTAGGTAAAAATACATGTGGGACAAGTCGGGTAATTTAATATCTGCCAGCCTGACTTCAATTCCAGGAAGGTTTCAAAGCAGTTAATACCTCTGTCACCAAGTAAAAAATTAAAGGAAAAAACAAAATGTAATCAATGTATTTATGGAAAGCAAACTCTTATCAAATACTTGCCCATAGTCCTGCTGTAGAAATCAATGGTGGACTCGCAGTCAAGAGCCTTCATCCCTCTTCCTTTCTTCATCGTGTTCCTGGATATTTTTCCAGGAGCTGACTGGATATGGAGAACAGGTTCCTGTCGCTTGCAGGAGTTCCCCAAAGTGGCTGTGCTAACAGTGAACTGTTGCAAAGATCAGTCTGAGAAAATAGCTTGTAAAGCTAAATGGGGCCATGTGACCCAGCACCCACGGGATTCAGTAAAGACTTGGATTCTGGAGACAGGGTTTATTCTCCTGAAGGCCCCCACCTCCCCAGCAAGGGCCCCAAACCACCTTCCTTTCTTTTCTCCGGTGTTGGCACATGCCTGGAAGCGCTGTCATCCTCTGGGCCATTCTCATTGAAATCCCTCAATGGCCCCGGTGTGCGCTGCGCATATCCGGGCACCGCTGCAGGCCCTTGTTATTCTGCTGCGGCCGGACGGGCGCATTGTGAGGCCTCATGGTATGCGTTTGGTGACCAAAAATGCTGTTTTCCCACTGCTGCTCACGGACTGCTTCCAAGATCGCAGTGTTAAACCAGTAGTGCCCCCTCTTGCTAGCCTAGCCCAGGCATAGAAAACTGTCCGGGCAGTGGGAATTGAGAGCTGTGCTCCCTGGGAGAACAGCCTCACTCCCTGCCTGCAGAATGGCCCGTTGCGTCTGCTGGGAGTGCCGTGCTCGTGTGTAAGGAGCATCGTGTCTCTCACCAGGAGAAGAATCCGAGTGGAGAGCTGTGGTGAGCCTGCTGAGCTGGGCAGCGTCCGGATGGGATGTGCCGCATGTGGAGCAGCGGGAGGAATGGGGAGAAATGCTCCTGGAGCTGGCACTGCCGCCTGTCCCCTGCGCTCCTGGGGCTGGCGCTGCTGCCAGTCCCCGGCACACGAGTCCCCAATCTGAGGTGGGGTTTGCGCTGTGGTCCAATGCCCCTTCTGATAAGTTCTGATATAAGTGACAACTGGAGATGGGAATTATTCATGCCCCACACTTGCTRACTGGAGGAGCTTCCCCCCAGCTCCAGGGCCTGCTCTGATAACCCGAGTTGCCCACTCATTGAGGACACAATAGCAAGACTATGGGAAGGTTCCTCTGGGGGTGGGGACAGTGCCAGAGGGGCCAAAAATTTAAATGTAGCGTCTAAATTTTAACACTTGTGTGCTTTATTATCTCCAAAAAGAAAAAGACTCTTCATGATATACACATCCCATATATATTATTATATTTACGTACACACAAAGCAGGATGTGATGCTTTGAGGAAGAGCAGACCTGGCCAGCATGGGGAGGGCTTGCATGTGCAGCTCTACCCCTGGGCTGCTCTCGCTTCTGTGTAGCTGCATGGCCTGCCTGCTGTGGCACGTACCTGTACCCAGACGTTCACAGCTAAGCCTGGATTTTGCAAAGGCTACAAAAGTCACTGGCTTGGCATATGCTGCGAGGAGTTACAGTGGGTTCAGTGTGAGTACATACAAAGCAACAGGTATTTCTTTTAAAGTTTTTTTTTTTTTTCACTGAGCATGAAGAATACACAAGTGCTGCAAGTGAATGAAAGAGATTGTGCCTCCCTTTGCAGGCCGAGCTCTTCCTGCAGGTCCTGCTTTGTGTGTCTGCACCAGGAGAGGCGCGTGCTGGGCAATAACTCATCTCTGTAATCATTAACTACTTGACCATCCGGTTAACACAAATGTTAGGAAAGCTGATTCCTGCTCCTCGCACCGTGCTCCTATGGGAGATCTCGATCAGCTCGCAAGGCCTCATTTCACACAGCTCGGCCGCCCTCCCCAGCTTTGATTTTTTTCCATGCGCTCTAAGGCACGAGACTGCGTTTCTGCTTTCCTTCCATAGACACTTTTGGAACATGCAGTGTTGTGCAGCTGCTGACAAAATGACAAATGAAGCAAAAGTTTCATGCTGCCTGTTTCCTCTTCTCGTGCAGATATCTGATTTAAAAACAGATATGCAGGGCTTGGCATTTAAACTACCCAGCCCTTATGTCCAGATGCCTGGACCTCCCCCAAATCAAACTCATTTAAAATGAAGTAGTATTTGCATGTTGAAGTTTATAAATTATAGCCTGCCTTTTCACCACTACCTGTTTTTTCTGACAAAGTTCAGTCACTKGATTCTGTCTTGAGCCTTCAGTGTTACAATTGGTTTTGTCTTTCAGCTGAATATAAGTCACAGAATCACAGAGTGGTTGAGGTTGGAAGGGACCTCTAGAGACCATYCAGTCCAACCCCCTGCTCCAGCAGGGACACCCAGAGCACGGGGCACAGGGCGGCATCCAGGYGGGTTTGGAAGATCTCCAGAGAAGGAGACTCCACAGCCTCCCTGGGCAGCCTGTGCCAGGGYTCTGKCACCCTCACAGGAAAGAAATTCTTCCTCACGTGGAGATGGAACTCACATGAATATAAGCCAAATATAAGTCTTTCCATTATCTTTCATCCCAGATTCCTTCCCTTTCTGCTTACCCTCTTCGTCCCGTAAGAGACTTGGGGCAAACCCAGCAGTTTTTATATTCTGGCAAAGTGGGATGAGTAAAATTCCACTTAATGACCATTTTGATTGGATACAGATTTTTCTCTTGCCTGCTCTATGAAACAAAAAAAAAAAAAAAAAGAAAGAGAAAGCGTTTTGAAATATGTAATGCAGAGATGCACCTTTGCAAGGGTCACACCTGCAGTCTACAGACGAGATTTAACATTTCATTACAAAAATAAAGACAACAACTCAGCTAATTGCAGTCACGTTTATTTGCAGTTTCTATACACACTTTCTAGGTAATCAAACTTTTCCAACACAGTTYTTGAGAGGGGTTCACAATGAAACTGTCACCGTTTTTACTAAAAATAAATACAAGACTTAAAGTGTTGCACAGCTCTAAAATATACAAAGGCTTGGATTTAATGTAAACTTTGAAAACATTTTACAAAAGAAACCATCTTTGCAACAATTTAAAAAGTTCGTATTTACAAATATTACAAAAATACAAAATGGATGCAAGTCCATAAACCATTGTCTTTTCTGCCAGCATGAACTGGTGCTAGTACCAAAATAGTTACACTGTAACCTTCTTTATTTTTTTTTTAATTCTTTAAGTCATAACCTACAGTATTTCTCTATATCTGCCACCATTGCAGCAAATGCACTCAATCACTGACCTTTGGCAAAAGCAAATGGATGCTTTATTTGCTACAGCTATTCCACGTCCTCTATGCTGCCACAAAAAGAAAAAGAAAAAAAAAGGGGGGGGGGATGTTATTTTTCAGAACACACAGCTGTATTACTTCAAAAATCATTTCCGTAACATCAGTGCAAGCAAGGGGACGACGGGCTGAACCGATGGCTCCCTGGTCACCGAGCGGGTGCCCTGTACCCTGTTCCAAGGTCTGTTTGTTGTTCAGCTCGTGCCTGTGGSTTCCCTTCTTCAGAGGGGCTTTGTAGTCCCTCTGCATTTGGGCTTCAGGCTGTTAAATATAAAATTGGGGGAAAAAAAATCTCTCCTAGATGTTAAAAGAAGTAAAGTTATGTTTTCCTGTGCTTGTTCTGTGGTCTTTTCATATCTTCCTACCTCACCATTCAAGTCAAAAATGCCTTTTTTTTTTTTTTTAAAACAATGCAGATATATTTATAGACAGTATCTCTGTGAGACTGGGTAATCAAAAGTGATGTAATCAAAGAGCTTTTCCGGCTGTTTACTCTTTAAAAGTTTAGAAGGATCATTTAAAGCACATATAACACTTTTAAGAATAAGCATGTTATAAAAGTGCTTCTGTTAATATCATTAAGGAAGATGACTGAACATCACAGACGAAGGGTTTTTTTGCCCGTATCTGAACTTCCTTTCCTCATCTTCTCCAGAAAGTATTGTTTCATACTAAGCATTTCCTATTAAAACATTCTCATTCATTCATTTCACTTGTATCGTGACTTATTTTCTTAACTAAGCTATTAATGAGACTAGCCATTTCTTTCCACACCTTACCCCACTAATCTTTTTTAATGCTATTCTAGACTTCCCGACTTGAAGCCCTTGAGCTGTTTTTCCACCCCTCTTCCCAGCACCCATAGCACATGCACAGTGATGCTAGCTTCCATCCCAAAGGCAATCGACTACACAGGAGGACGGTAGGAAACCCTGAATTAAATATTTCTTTTGGAAAACACTACATGAAATCTGACATAATCTAATGGGAAATACCATGTTCAGGTTAGTTAAACCATTCTACCTTGCTCAAACGTTTCAAAATCCCAACGGTTTTAACTAAAACTTTCCCCTTTAAAACATGATTTGCCTGCTTTAAAGCATCTCCGCTTTATGCTTTCCATGATAAAAAACAGAACAGRAAAAAAACCCATTTCACACATGCCGCTTCCCCATCATTTACTTCTGCTCGAAGCCAGCTTCCCGTTGATTTCCTTAGCACCGGAGCACGCGCGCTCTGCCGCCCCGCTCGCCCTGTCCTGCTGCCCACCACGCTCCCTCCTGCACTATTTTCTCTGCAYTAGCCTTTCCCGTATTGCAAAGCTCTATTCACCTACAGCAATCATCACCACCTGCGTCGAGTTTGGACAATGCTGGCCTTGTTCTCCAGGTAGCATCGCTGGGGCTACGCTGGTGGAAGTGGTGGTGGCCCAAAGGAGAACCAGGCCTACTGGCTTTCACTTGTTTAAAAATTAAAAGCGTAAAGCAACTCGGGGGTTGTTCATCACTTACACGTTCTTTCCGTTTTAAGACAAGAAAATTCAAGTAACTTCAAGTAATGCAGCTTTTATTTCCCTGCCTTCATTTTTTTTTTTTTTTTACCAAAGCAGTTGCTTTGATTTGTCTCCTTTCCCACCCCATCCCATTCCCCGACCCTGTTACACGTTCCTGGTAAACCCGGACAAAACCCAAGCTGCATGTGGCTGGCATAATGACCCAGAGCTTTCCCCTTCCCGGTTAATCAATGAATATAAATAATGCGTACACATACCTATTTCCCAGCTACATTTTCACAGTGTCATTTTTTGTAAATATTTAGGTAGCATGAATCTCATCAGCACAAAGAGAAAGCTTCACTGAAAACTCATCGCAGATATTTACTGATAAATTGAAAGCGCTTGTTGCATGCTTATAATTTATTTGTTTCCCTTAAGAACCAGAAACTAATCATGTTTAGTGATTATAGGTACCAGGTTATGACTGTGTTATGTATCCCAACATCCTAATAAGAATATGAAAATAAGTACTATTTCTTCTTATCTATTTTCTTCTTATCTACCCTTCCTAAAGCAATCCATAGTAGAATAAAGGCCTAAGGGACACTGTCAAATGGGACTGTCAGGGGCTCTGCACTAGCAATGACTTTGCTCTGTCAGCAGCATGCTCGCCTTCCCCACCAATTATCATGTTAAAACTCGCAGCTGCACTTTTCAGTTAGCTCCTCCCGAGCGCTATTCGAAAGACAAATGGTTGCTTTAATCTGATCTTAGCCTTTACATTTCCTTAGCTAACGTTGAGGATTTTCTTTCAACTGTTAAACGTCGCTTTTGAGGCTCATCACACTGAAAGTGGTTATTGGTGGCCGTTTAAGTAGTATGTTTGATATGAAAATGGTATTCACAGAATACAGTTATTACATTTGACGTCTTTTGTCTTTTAGAAACAAAGTTGTTATGCAGTAAATCATTTGCCACATGTCCACTTTTTGATAGTTTTATGTACAGATTTTTATCAAAAATATGGTATTTACATATGTTTTGTTTATTTCTTCTAAATTTTGTTTCAGCTTATTTTAGTGTAGAAAAATACCAATCCTCAAGAGCATTTTTTTTTCTTTTCCTTTTTTTTTTTTTTTTTTTTTTTTTTTTTCTCCTAGGGAAGCACTACAGTGAGGGATTTGTCTCTAGATGGGCAGCTTCTGGAATAAAAACAAAAAGTTGCTTTGAACTCTATGAAGAGTGAACAGCCTTGAAATCTACAGTGATGCCAGAAATGAGGGTAGGATAAATCAAAACAAGCTAAAAGAAATGAGGCTCAACATAGCATACCTTTCTACCCTTAGAAAACGCGAAGTAATAAATAGCTACAGCTTTAGTCCTCTGTTTCCCCAGCGTCCTATCAACAGAAACACATTTAAGCATTGATATTGCCCTGCATTTTTTTTTCCTTTCTTTTTTTTCCTTTTTTTTTTTTTTTTCTGACTGCTACAGCGTTGGCCTCCTCTATGCACATGGGCAGGCGGCCCGAGCGGTTCCGGCGTTCCCTGGCGGCGCCGGGGCTCCGCGGCTCGCGCTGCCTATGTCGAGCTCTGCGAGGAGCGGTCRTCGTGCGGGCTGCCGTCTGAGTTCTCCGTGTCCCCTTCGGAGATGGCCTGCATCGGCGTGTTGTAGAGCCTGCAGCGCACGCTGTACCGGCTGCTGCTCGCTGCCGGCGGCGCCCGGGAGCGCCCCACTCTGCACGACGCYGACATGGAGAAGCTCTTGGGGGAGAAGCCTTCCGCGTTGACTCTGGGCGAGCAGGGCGAGAGCGGCGACGACGACGCATCGGGGCTGCCCGCCTGGGGCGACTCCTCCGGCGCCGCAGGGGCGTCTGCTAGCAGCTCTCCGGGGGACTTGGGCAAGATGGGGCTCTTCAGGATCTCCGTGGCAGACATCCGGTAGCTGGAGTCGGACCGGCTGCCCTTCTTTAGGAGCAGCAGCTTAAACTCCTCGTTGGATGTGTTGGACTTCTTGGCACTGCGGTATATGAGCCCCGGGGAGCGCTGGCTGCTTGCGGGCGTCGCGCTGCCGCCGGCGGGCGACACGGTGCTGGTGGGCGCCGCGCTGCTGGCCGCGGCCAGCGCGCCGCTGCTGCTCCCACACGTGCCTCTCAACCTGTTCCGTACGGACAGGTCTCCAGAATCCTTCCGGCCCAGCACCTTCCTCTTGGATCTGTAAAGATACAAAGGAACACACGCTCCTTGTTACGTGCAGAGAGGTTTACGGGCTCACCACACTCTGATATTACTTGTGGTATTAGTTAGAGTTCTCCTCATCCATATTGTCAAATATGAGAGGCGAGCAGTGACTGATGCCCCTYGAAACAGGAATAACTCCTGTGCAATGAAAGAGGCACCGAGTCACAAAGTCCTCTTCAAGCTCCCCCAGCTCTTCCAAAACCATTTACACCCAAGCAGCACTTTTTAAAGGCAGTGGTGGATATGGGATCTTCGGCTAGGCTGATGYTCATTGTCATCTGCTCAGTACTAGAAAACTGTGGCCATCAGTTCAGCTGTGATAGCAAATATCAGCTGAATACAGGAGGCTCTGTATTTGGTGAGATGCCTTCTCTGAAGCAACCGCTCGCTCAACAGAACTGAGCTGGTGGGTGGGATGCAGAAACCACTGTTGTGTCCTTTCCTTTAGAGAYGTGTGTGTTTGTTATAGAGATCGGCCTGGCAGTATTTGTAAAGCACCCTACACTTGCTGTGAAGATGCTCAGGATGCAAACAAGGCTAAAATAAAGGAACACTTAAAAGCTGCCTTTTAAGAAATTAACACAATAAAATAAAGTAGGTGGTGTCAGGACAGAGAAAACTGAGATGAAGAATTTCATATTAAATCAGCAATCATCATGCAGGTGTGCACTCAACCACAGGTTCTCCTGGAAGTCTGACAAATAAACCTGACTGAAACCATGGGGCCGTAAAAAAAGATGTAGTTTAGTGAAAATTAATCTCAAWGTTTCAACCAATTTAGCCAAAGATTGTTCACATGAGAGGCATATCCACATGGACAGCTGTGGGCAGGCCCATGCTCCTCTGTTTGTATCCCATCCCGGCCGCTCTCGTAGCTCCCCCTGGACTGTTACAAGATCACCCCAGTACTGCCAAGGGGAGGCACCAGAGAGACTGCGACACKTCCAGGACCAGCACTAGTGGGGTTACTTCTGCATGAGTCCAGCATCAGACCAACTGCTGCACCGGGCAGACTTAACCAGAATAACCGGCTATCGTTACGGGGTGTTTGCGCAATTTAGGAGAACGCGGTAGCATTTTACAGTTTTTGCTTGCCCTACCATTACATCACCTGTGAATAACTGCAAACAGATCCTCAGTAGTGCGTGGTTTATTTGGAGACACAAAAACATCTTCTGTCTCAGCCTGAGAATCTTCACTCAATGGAGAAATGATGGAATCATCGCTTGGAGAAGATTCTTAAAAGGAGGAAAGAAGCCACGATATGAGTCAAACACTTWCCATGTTTTACAACAGCAGAGCTATTGCAACCCACAAGTTCAATTTATAACTGAATTGCCAGTATATGTACTATAATATATAAACTTTATCTCCTAATCGAAATATCATCTACGCTGAAGCGCATAAAGTGGGTACTGGTAGGATCCAAACCCTGCGTATCTGGTTTACGGTACAGATGCTTTCAGCAGCTCTGCAGCTGTGATAACCGGCCCCCCTTGTGCAAAGGGCTACTCCTCTTCCCTTTTCTACTTCTAACTAAAATGAAGTATAAAGGAAAAAAGTAAAGAAGTACATTCCACTGAAAATATTTCTGGGCTGACAAGTTAGCTGACAGATCRGGGGAATTCTGCTCAGATCTCCAGAAGCATCTTGATTTACATTTGCACCTAGCGCCAGATACTTTTCAAAGCTGCACTAAATCACACCCCAAACTGTACAGTCAGTTATAATATAGAACAAGTTTAAAACTGACCTTTCGGTGAAGGCTCTTCCGTGCTCCCCAGCATCTGATCTGCCCTGCTGTTATCAGAGGCACTTTTGGTCGTAATACCTGATGCAATATCATTTTCCTGCTTGAAACTTTTTTCACTGAGAGAGTTTACTGTTGCTGTCTCTGATTCATAGCAGATATTCCCAGGCACAGGGTGGCTTAAATCAAGTTGGTGCTTAAGCTGATCGCTAATGCCAGCTCCCTCCGACTGAGATGAGGTTTCACCCACAGGTTCAGATTCCAACTTTTGTTCAGAGCCTCCAGTGAACTCTTGCTCAATCTGCACTTCGTCAAGGTTGCTTTCTTGTTCTGCTCCCCAGGTAGTTTTCTTTGCCTCATAATCATTTGTGGGGACAGATGAGCCTTTCTGAAGCCCTTCTGTAGAAATAGCACAAGTCTGAGTTAGAGCATTTTCTGTCAAATGCTCAGTGGCCAGGTGCATTTGATCTGCCAGGGGTTTAATTTCAGCCAGACCCACATCTGCTGAAGTTACAGTTTCTTGCTCACAATTACTCTGTCCACCGAATGASGCGCTTTTTTCTAAATGTGGTTTTCCAGGGTCTGTTTCTGCTTGGGAAGTGTCAATATACGGCATTATGGCCTCCTCGGTGGCATACTGACGTGATATTGGCTTCTTAGCTAAGAGTGGCCTCATCCTGCCTGGAGAAACATCGCTCCCCGGTAGCACGGTTTCTTGTACGCAGAGCAGCTCTGCAGTGCTAGCTTTTTGCCTCCCCTCTTCAGGCTTATTAATGGACCTAAGGTGAACAGATTTCAGAACGGAAGGTGTGATGGCGAGGGCGGAGGGAGGATTGGGAGTCAGCGCTTCTCCTACCATGCTCTGCTTGCTGGGGTTGAACGCATGCAACTGGTGCCTATGAGCGAACGGTTTGTTCAAGACATTGTGAAGAGCACTTAGGTCGAGATGAGTGGGAGGTATAATGGGAAGCTCTAGGTCTTTGCCTGCAGGCACAGGGCCATCTTTGGACWGCGGCTGTGGCTGCAGCGATGACTTCCTTTCTGGTACTTTTGGCTTTCTCTTGCTGCCGCCAGGAGACAAAGGCCCAGAGAAGAAAGCTGTTGGGAAGGAAGAGGTTGGTGTTTCTGACTGGCTGGAGTATCCACTGGAGGGTGATGCTAAYCCCGCCAGCTTCTCTGGGGAGGCCAGCTTAAACTCATTGTCGACGGAAGGGAGGGAAGGGGTGGTGGCCCTTGATCCGGACTGCGATGTTTGGGATTCCGAGCTCTCTGGAGATTTGATGCACTCTATGACTGTAGTACCCGTAGCAGTGCTTGAATTGGATAAAGACCTATAGGGATCATTAGATTTCAAGTCATTTAGAAGCCAGAGATCTGCATAGTGAGATGGTTCAGCACCTTCATCTTTAAAAGATGGAATATCTGTGGTGTCAAACTGAGCATCCTTTAATCCGCTGTCATTCTGGTTCGCCCAGGGGAGCTCCTGTTTGGTCGGCAGATTAGAGTTTTCCACTCTGGAAGGTGTGTTTGCGAACTCAAGTGGCAGCTTCATTTCCCTGGAAGTGTGAGACACATGCTGCCCACTGCTTATCTTTGGTTCTTTCTTTTCCGGAAGGTCCGTGCTGCTCTCAGATTTCCTCAAAGATGAGCTGCGTTTTGGTGGGGCTGGCTTTGCCTTTGGTTTCTTCAGAGAGATGCTCTGCCTTCCTTGCCTCCTGTGGTTCATGCAGTCCTGCCAGGYGCAGTCAGTGAGGCTGGAGGTCACACTCGTGTTCTGGCCACTCTCAGAGCCCGCCGCTGCATAGTTGCAAATGTAACTTTTATTACCCTTGAGACCACAGTCGAAGTGCATGGAAGTATAGTATCCTTCTGTATCCACGGAGAAGTGTGAGCTAGTGTCTGCCTTGTCAGATGGGCTCTTCTCGAGGAAGCTATCGTAAGTGGCCATGCTCGTGAAACTCGGGCACCCCAGGCTGTCGGCCTTGGGGCGCTCGGGGCTGAAGTCCTGGCGACAGGACGCRTCGTGGTGGTGGTGCAGGTAGTTCCACTCGCTGTCACTAGTGTTGCTGTTGTTGGGATCATCCAGTAAGTCTGCTACCGTGGAGGTGAAGGAGCTCGCCCTGTGGCCTCTGACCTTGTCCATGTGGTCGCCATACTGCTCTGTRATGAAGATGCTGGAGTCCTCGTTGGCGTTGGGAGCGGTGTTCAGCGACAGCTCAGAGTCACAGTGCGAAGAGCCCGTCAGTGGAGGAGAGGCAGCAGGGGGAATGGTTTCRGATGTCTGAGAGGGGCATGTGGAGCTGCTCCCACTCCAGTTCCCACTGGAGGACTGGTGGTCATCTTTTTGGTCCATGTGGCTGCTGAGCAGGACTCCTGCTGTGGATATGGAGTGGATGGGGCTCCCAAAGGTATCCGAGTTAGATGAGATCTCACAGCTTCCTGAATCCGCCATCCTCGACAGCCGTGATCTCCCTCTCTCACCGATGCTGTGATCGGGGCTGTGCAAGTGCTGAGGACAAGTTAAAACTATGGGCTGATGTTCCTGTGAACTCTGTTTGTTCATGACCTCCTTCCCCTTTTTCGGGATCCTTTCCTGGCTTGCTAGAAAGTGTTCTGCTTCGTATGCTGAGCTTTTGGCACTGGCATCCTGATCGCCCTCGCTGGCTCTCGCACCCTCGCGAGGAAGACTCCGTGACCGGATGCGGTTGCTCACTGCGGTGGCAAACACGGCATCTCCGTTGTCTGCTAGCACCAAAATGTTGCCGGCAGAGTGTGAGAGGGAGGCGACCACGCTCTGCCCTCTCTGTGCTCGTATCCGTCGCCGGGACGGAGCGGCAATGAGGATTTCCTCAGTCTGGCACTCCGAGTCCCGCGTTCCCAACCTCCGGTTGGCAGCAGCGGCGAAGTCCGGGTTCGCATGCACAATCACATTGCGCTCTCTTGCCACCGGCGACTCATCGGAATCTAGGATACACGTAAACCTGGGTGAGATACAACTCCGCGCCTCCTCATAAAAGACGACCCGCAAAGCAACCCAAGAAGCATATCTGTTAGCTTTTCTTTTGTTTCTTTTTATCTCACTGAATTTGTACCAAATTATCTTTACTGCAAAAACTCTGAACGGCAGACTTTACCCTGCTAAGGTGGGAAATTCTCTTAGTCCTGCAACGTGAGCACAGTTCTCCTATTTCTGCAATGTGATCTCACACAGAGCTGATCTTGCCGTGGTAAATATTAAAGATTTACTTTTTAATTTTTTTCACTCCATTTCAACCAGAAAAGTTATATTTAATGAATAACTGTTTGGCAGAACAATCCGTAAACTTTTACAAATAATTCTGTTCCAATTGCAAGTCTTTTCAGAATTTCCATCGTACTCTTCTCTAGCACCAAGAATATTTGCACAGTAACAGGATCTTCGTTTCATACCTTCTCCGGTTGCTTATTCCCTATGATAAACACATTCCTTCTGTTTTGGATCAAATTGCACAGCAACTGTCTGAGATATCGAAGGTATCTTCAGGTGTCAACCAACATTAAGAAATAATGATCCTGTTAGTTTAGCTTTGGGCTAATATCAATTTTACACAACATTTGCCCACAAGAGAGTTGTTCCCAGTTTATCTGGAAAAAGGTGAGCTAAGCCCCTTGGTTTCCTGCAAATATCCTTGGTAATAAAGAACGAGAGGAAGGAACTGTGGACAAGTGTGATGGATAATAGGAATATTTAGCAAAGTTTTTGGTAGGGTGCCAGCAGCTGTCTCTCATGTGGGTTTCCAACCGATCAGCTGAGTGAGTTATCCGGCTGTTGTGACAGCTCATCATCAGTTTGCTGAGCAACATCTGTCATTTCTTTACCTTAAGACCCCCTCGCACAAGAAAAAACTTTCACTTAATCTAGTTACTTTTTATGCACATAACTATGGGCTTGTAACAAAAATAAAACGAAAAAAAAAAGTAACTGATTAACATTTACAYGATAAGAGCTGAACATGTACATCTATATTACCCGGTAAGGCCTCAGCATATCAAGACCATATGGAGTAATATAGCTTTTCTTATTGTAGTAAATCAAAAAAACAGACACATCATTCCCAAACTGCACAACCATTTATGCTTTCAAGGTTTCATTTCTTTGGAAGGCTGGCTAGCAGCTCATTTCCCTGCAATTTAAGTCGGTTAGAGAGCTATCTACAGAAGATTCGTATTTATACTACACCTATTTCTTGTTGCACTCTTCTGGGGATGCCAGAGATGGTTTTCCTCCTCCTCAACTTTCGTCTCCGCTGTAGTACAGATTGTGAATGAACAAGAGAGCAGCGTATACTAGCCTCTCTGTCAAAACCAACTCCTGCAACCCATAAATAGGTCTCATTAGCCTTTAGAAATAGTAAACAATTTTTCATGGCTGGAACACAGTGGAGGTATGTGAGCTTGGATTAAGCCTGTGAATAAACATAAGGGAGCCCTTATGCAGCTCGTATGTAAATTATATTACAGTATATCACAGTTTTACATCTAATTCCAGCTCCCTCTCAGCAGCCTGGTTTGCCAAAAGTAACAGGAGGAAAAAACATAAAAGAGGAAAGAAGGAAAGAAGGAAAGAAAGAAGGAAAGAAGGAAATAAAGAAGGAAAGAAGGAAAGAAATAAAAAGAGAAAAAGAAAGAAAAATAAAAAGAGAAAAGGAAGGAAAGACAGGCAGAGAAAGAAAAAAGAGGAGAGGAGAGGAGGGGAGAGGAGAGGAGAGGAGAGGAGAGGAGAAAACTAGGAAAGAAATAGAGTTGAGAGCTCTAGATAGCCGGCCATTTTTTTTTCTCATGGCTATTTATTCATCTGCCAGAGCGACAATGACAGTAATGTGTCTGCACAGAGTAATCTGTTCACTATAGTCTGGCTCATTTTACAAAGCTAAGCATAAGAGAACAGCTGAGGCTGTAATGCCATATTGCAGCAGTTCGGCATTACTCTTACGAGACCGGTATACAAAGGGTACTAACGCTTTAGAAAGGAAATAGACAGCTATAATGGGGCCAAGTCCACGTGCAAATTTAGAGAGCATTCTTCTTTAATATTATATATTGTCAAGAAGGAAAGGAATTGACAGCTAACGTTTTCATGTATCAGTAAGTGACCCTATTTTCCCAGGTGTGCAGCACACTGTGGGACAAGCAGGAGTCCACAATGGACAAGGAACACTTTGAGAACTGGGTAGCACTTTCAAGGACCTACATTTGGGTTTAGGAGCTCAAGTTCACGTACACATTTATTGATAACTGTGGTCCCATGGAACAGACAACAACGTCTTATTTTCTTTATGCTCCCATGGCATTCCCATGACAAAATCTCCTTCATGTTTTTTACACTGTGGTCAGAATACAGGGTGAACAGTACCTTGCTGCATTAGCTTTTGGCACAAGTAGACATGCTCTCTAAAGTTGGCATGGGACTGGYTGAAAACGTTTCAGGTCCAGAAAAACATTAACATAAGGATTGCCGGTACAGTGGTTTGTAATCTTAAGGGAAAAAAAATGAAATAAACCAAATAAAATGAAAATAAAAAATCCTGGTAGAAATCTCCATTTTTACAGCGTATAATTATATAAAACATAATTATACACAGACATACACATACATATTACACTACATAACAATGTAAAACATTAAAAAGTAACTTTCTTGTAAAAGTTCTTCTTGAAATCTACTACAGTGAAATAGAGGCTTCAGACAGATGTCCTGTAACCATCAATGCCCCTGGAACAAGCAGAGGAAGAACTTTCTTTAATATGGAACGGAAATACTGTAAACTCTATCAACAGTCATTAAAAAAAAAAAAAAGTGAACATTTCTCAGGGTTGGGAGAAGCTTAAATAAAAAAAAGAAGGAAAAAGGAAAAACRGAAGCAAACTCTTAAATGGACATCACTCAGCATCACTGCTGGTGCTCCAGCAGCCGTGCGTTACGGGGACATGCTCGGTGTGCCGGCGCACGGGCCAGGGCCGAAGCGGGCAGTGGCGGAGGGGACTCGGCCACCCTCGCCGTGTGACGCGTCCGGGCTATTCCCACTAGTGCCAATGAGAATGAGACACACAAAAACAGCCACAAGATTACATACCATTCCCCATCGGTAAAACTGAGCAGTGGGAATTGAGCTCCAATGGAGGGCACACGGAGTCTAGGCAAAAATTGCTATTACTGGATAAGTTCGCATTGGCCCCAGACCTAGAGCTGCGCTCTCCTCCACGCCGTGGGTCAGGGAGCAGGGGGGAAAACCTACCGCCCTAGTCACCCTTTCCAACGGGATTTCTGCCTGGAGTGTCCAGTGCCTTAAGGGACATCTGGCCCCAGGCGGCTGTGACCTCCTACCCCCAATCATTATTAGAAAAACCCAATTAAAAGCAAATATTGGCTCTCCTTTTCTCTTTTTTTTTTGTTTCTCCTGGCGGTTTATATTCTGATAATGGTGGAAGCCAGCTCACTTTATGCTCTTAGATTAATGAAAATTTGGTGAGGAGAACTCAGATAAATTTTATGTTTACCTCTGGAAAGACAGAAAGAGAAAAAGAGAAAAACATCCTGATTTTTTTTCTCAGTCAGGAAATATGTTATCTACCACATTAAATAAGTTATATACTTCCTACTTTTATACAGAATTTCTTCTTCAAACAAGTAAAACATATGCAAATGTTACATAAATAAAAGAAAATGCCATTACTATACCTTCAGCACAGCAGCATGTAAAGAGATCTCAGAGCGATGGTTTGCATGCTACACAGTCATGACTTGCATGTTTAAAGCACTGCAAATAGTAGCCTATATTCTCTAGTTTCTCTTCTCCTGCTACACATGATAGTCATATGATTAATTTCTGTGGCTTTCTGCATTATTTCAGTCAGCTACATTCAGAACATTATCTGAGGTCTTCGGAAATACAGACTTGCCGTTATATGCACAACAGAAGTACAGTGATTGTGCACGGAACCGGTGTAATATTGCACTGTATAACATGATTCAACAGCTATGGGCCAAATTAACCCTATGCACGGCTGCAGTGACTTCAGTGGACACGCATGAGGGATGCATTTAGCCCTCCGTCTGCTACAGTCTTAAGCCTCAAGCAAGGGTCTTTGCCCACAGACTGTCAAATCCAGTGACTTGAAATAAATTAAAACAACGTAAGCACTCGACCTCCCTTGAACCATGCAATAAATACAAGAATAAATAGAAGAGATTTGTACCAGTGACATTGATGGGGATAATGCAAGAAGAAATCACTTGGGCATCTTGTTTCATTTTCTCCTCTGGAGTTGGCAGAGGTAGTGCTTTACTCCAATTGGTTTGTTTATCCAGTGTAGAAGGGATATTATGTATTGGATTTTTCGGCCTCTGCCCTAACATGACATCTGTATCTTCGTCCTCTGGAGGATGGGACTGCAAATGAATACATTCAGAATCAGTGTCTACCGTTCAGGCATACAAGGCTACTTTTGAAACAAAGCAGACATACAGAGCAGAAATCAATTGCAGGGATGCGATGAAGACTTGTGCTAGATAAGGCACACAGTACAAGCTARTCTCCCACAGATAAATAACATACAGTTAACGAGGAAAAAAACAAACCCTCCACATACTGAAAACAATTCTGTGTATTTACAGTGACATTCACAGGGCATCTTTTCAGTCAGAAGGGCATGTCCTGCACGTCTGTGCATTTGGTCCAACACTCACTCAATTACTACCAGCGTTGGACACGTGAGCCCTCSTTGACCCGCAGCCTATTGAGCACGCGAGTGCGTGTGTGACTGCTAGTGAAAACTGGCCCCACAGAAACATTCACCGGAGGATAAACATCAGCAGGCCAAACACTTTAAAAAGATCCATCCACACATCAGAAGATGATTTGCATTTCGTTGCATCAAACTAAGGCTATGACCAGAAAAAGGGTAGAACAGACCAACAGCTATGCAGTTGCAAGCAGCATGTGTTGACAGTGTTGGTGTCAGAAGGACATGGCCAGGAGAAGAGCTGCCACCAGGCAAAACACAGAGAATTATTTAGAAACGGAGCAAAAGTTGAGAACTTGCTACCAAAAGCAGTGGACACTGAAGATGAAGAAACAGGGAAAGAGAAGAAACACAGGTGCTTTGTTTTCTTTTAGAAGCAATATCAAATCCCCAAGCAATACTCTGTCCTACACTCTCCTCCAGTGAGAGAGAAATATGTTAAGCACTTACTCTCCTATCTAGCTTTTGACTCCAGTTTTTAAGTCTCTTTGAGGGAAGTCTCTTTCCATTCTGTTTGGAAGGGATGGAGGGGAGAAACACTTACCTTTGTCTATTTTTCATCCCTTTTGCAGTTACTGCATTCTCCTACCAGCCCTGACACTTCCTCAGCAAGGCCGGCAAGGCTGCCCAGTTCTCTATTCTCACAAAAATAAAGCGCAATATCTTTCAGTCTGGTTTTCTTCACAGTCCTGAATTCCCAGCTGCTTAACCACCAGGCTTCCCGCCTCGTGACTGCTGTTTACACTTTATGTGCCCGTTTTTCGTCCCGGTAGCAAAAGCGGCCGAGGCCAAATCCTGCGCGGCCCCTGCTGCGGACCGTGCCTAGCCAGCAGTTGTTTACCAGCACATGCTCGCCCCCGGCTGCCGCTCTGCTCCTGCCATTGCGCCGGCCAGGATTCGCACAAATCCTGCGGGAATTCTCCCTCTCGAGCTCACCAAGCAGCCCTCAGATCTCACCGCAGCAGCTGCTACTGGAAATACTGGAGGACTCTCGCTTACCTGCTCAGCGGCGCTGCTGGGAGCACCCCCGGGCCCGAGGGGACAGGAGCTTCCTGGGCTCCCCYGGCTCCGGGAACCCCTCTCTTTTTCCCTCCTCCCCCCCATACAATTTTAGCAAAACATTGCAGCCTTCCTTCTCCCTCGGCGCCTTTTGTGCCCATCCCCAGCAGACGTGAATAGCTCGTCTAAACTTCAAGCACAAAAGACTGCGTTTCCTAGGAAACTCCCCCCCCCAAAAGTTTGATGCATGCACGCAAAAAAAAAAAAACCCCAAAAACCCCTCGCACACAAAAAACAGACACACACAAAAAACAACAACAACAAAATCCTGCACGTAGGCACAGACACCCACGCGGGGGGAGCGCCTGCGTTTGCTGCCCATGTCCCCCCGAAATAACAATGGCCGGGGGGGACAAAGAGGCTGCAGCGACCCGCCTGCCGGCTCCTCTCCAGCCAGCAACGGGATTAGCGCCTTTCCAGAGGATCAGTGCAGGCTTTGGTGCTGGCATCCTCTAGACCATTCCTTACCGTTCAGGAAGAAGGGAAAAAAAAAAAAAAAAAAAAAGAAAAAAGAGCAGGCGGTTTGGCAAAAAATGTTGCAAGAAAAGGAAATGCAATTGCTACGACTCCAGCTTGGCCCGCTTCGGGCCTTTACAAAGAGGCAATAGGAGGAGGTGGCCTTGTGGCCATGAGCTCCTGAAACTGATCCAAGGCGAAGAATGAAAGAAGGAGAATAAAAAGTCACTGCTGCGCTTTATTGACACGCGAGAACAGAAAAGGCTTCTTTTTAGCCCAGTGCAGTAAASTTAGCAAGTGAAAAGCAAGCGAGAGGAAGGGTTGGGATCTGGAAGGGAGAAGAGTAGGACAGGGCTGTTCATTGAGGAATGCTTGTTTTTCCAGTACCTTTCTACTCCATGGGGTCATGTGGCAACACTCAATTGGGGAGGGCAAGCGGGTGCTGTTAAACTATAAATGTGAGATGTAAAAAAGAAAAATAAATTAAAATTAAAAACATGCACAAACTGTTTCTAGCACATTAAAGCACATTATTTTCATCTAGGCAAACCAGCATCAGAGGCAAAGCGAGCTGAGATTTCCACTGCTATTTCCAACGAACTGGCTTGTTCCCCTGAAGAGACTACTTCCACCAATGCAGCCCTGTCTCATGCAACTCTGATCACAGAGATTTTGAACAGACCCATGTGAAATCTGTGCTGATCTTGCTTACTCCGATTGGATACAGCTGCTGTGAGACTGGTTCAACCTCCTCCGTGTATGGCCGTGCTGAAGTTGTCCTAAAATTGCTGTGTGTCGGTCTGGGGGAACCCAAACTGACTGAAGYCAAATCAGTGCAAGGCCCTTATCCAACTGTGTTATCAAATATCTGTTTCATAAGGTAAGGAAATCTGTTGCCTGGTCCATTGGAGCAATGGATGTCAATAGTACTAGTGTCCTGAGGATGATTTCACAAATAGGCATTCTGATTTTATCATGTAAACAACTACAGTTGCAATCACAGAATATTCAAGTTGGAAGGGACCTCTAGAGATCATCTAGTCTAATCACTTGTGTCAGGCTGACAACAGCCAACAACATTGCCAAACTGGCATTTTGTAACTTCCTATAGTGCTTGAAAGGGTAAAGAGAGATGCCCAGAATGTCTTAAGTTCCACTTGCTCTCTGGAGCTCCAAAGTCCTTTCACATTGGGAACTCTGCTTTGTATGTTGTAATGTCCTGCTTTTCAAAATCAGTGAGGAACTGAACTTTTGAAACTAAATGAAAAAGACATAGAAAACATGACTGCTGATAGCACTGAAATGGTGTAGCAAGGGTTCCTGGCAAGGGTCTGGGGGCTTATCTGTGGCTCCCTTCTTGCTAGCTAATAGACCTGTCAAATGAGCCTATGACCATTTTCCTCCTAATCAGCAGCAGCACTGCTGTGATGGATGAACCACAGACAGCAGTTTGAATGACTTTGCATTATATGGTCCCCTTGCAAAAATAATAATGAAAAACAAATAAAAAACAAAATCTGTGCTAGGCTTCAAAGACTTAATTTTCAGTTCTGCCCTACTCTATTTTGAGATTCGCAGAACTTCTAGCACCTGATCCCATGTACAGTGTTAAAAGTGACTGAAGCCTCCAAAACAAGCTGTCAAAAAGCTTTTCAGGAGAGYAGAAGGAGAAAATAAAATTTGGGATTGCATTTCTAGCAGGGCAGCCAGATTACTGCAAAATCAAATCCAAGCTGGGATAAGGTCCTTGTCGTGAGACAAACACTTCCATTAGTGCTACAGCTTGGGTAGAGATAATGAATGCATCAACATTTTAAGCCTGCTCTTCAGATATCTAAGAATGATTTCACCATTCACCTTCTGGCCCAGTTTTCAGTAACCTGCTCTAAGGAGATTTGGGACAGTTAAAAGAAGCAAGTTTTTGAAATGAAATTCAGCTTCCCTGTGGAAGGTGTCAGAGGATCTTTGTGGAGAGCTGCGCCTGGTGGAGACAGATGCTACTGAGGGGACAAAAGTTCAGGATACAAGAAATCTTCTACATCTCCTAACTGTTACACGGAGGCCCACAGTAGTACTGGCCCATGCACAAGATGAAGGAGGGGAGGAAGAACCTTCTGCCCCCCCAAGCCTGAATATAAGCTGTSCAGGGACAAACTGGTGGGAGCCCAGCTCTGGCTGCTGGGAGACTAGCACAGGCTGACAGAGAAGCTGCCCTCATATCCTGTTGGTGCAGGGTTACTGTATCKGCCCTAGAGCCTTTCTGACCCCACTGAGAAAGCGCACATGGGCCCAAGGAGATTATTTCATGTACCAGAGTCTCACAGCTCTATTTAAGCACAGCAGGGCAAACTTTCTAGGCTGGAGTCTCACCTTCTCAACATGCACAGCAATAAAAACTAGAAAAATCAAGGGCTGGTTTGTGTCCCTGCTTCACCTGCCACGGGGACAGAGAATGACAGAGAAATATTGAGAAGACAATGGACAAATTGTAAGCAGATCCCAACTGCAGGTTACAGGSAAAAACTTCCCCTCCTACTGTCAAAGTGGTCATCCTGAAAATGCCTGTGCCATCATTATGGCACCAAGGGCGTACCTGAGGGTCTCCTACAGCCTCTTTCTACATGGCACCCAACACACAGTGGCAGCTGAGTCCCTTTTGATTATAGCAGTAGTGTCATCATTGAAACAGCTTCTAGCTGGGGAAGGGAGAGATCTGCTTTGCTTTAAATGTCCTCATTCAACTCAGAAGACCAGAATTTCTCTAAATGTCTTGAGTAAACACAAAATTAAGCACAAATTATTATTATATACCCAAGGCTTTTCTGGTCTGATGGGCAAATCTGCAGTTAGACAGTTTTCAAAGTGAATTTCTTTTATGTGCCTTTCTTTGACTTGGCAAACAGTAACGGTGATAATCAATCTGTTAAATACAAAACTAAAGTACTTTAAGGAGGCATTTCCCTTAATGGGCTAGGATTGCTTTGGAAGCAAACCGGTGTATAATTGCTTGAATAGGGACTTATTTTGCAGCCACTGACAAATAAGAGCATCTTTATTTGTCTAAGCTATCCCATCAGCTTCAGTTGCTGAGACRTCATTGGAAATGCTCTTGAATCTTTGCTTGGCAGCAAAAATCTTAGTTGCATATGTGCAAGATCTGATTTCTCTGTGCTTTACATCTCTTCGATGGTAAAGTCTTTGGTTTCTGTGCCCTGCAACAAAAAAAGTCAGATGTCTAAGTCTGAGCTACTCAGTGAGGCTCCCTCTATACAGAAACAGCAAGAGACATGGCCACTGAGCAATTCAGCATCCCCTCCTTCAGCAGCTGGCTTGGGGGAGATGCATCACTTCTGAATACTCTCCGCAGTGATTTTAAGAGGGGCCTTGCAGATACCTAAGTCAGGACACATGAATCACCCTTTTAGCTAATGAAAATCTTAAATCCCCTCMGTGCAGTGACAAAGAAACAATTTTGCAGGAACAAACTTGACAGACTGGCACTTTATAGGCCAACCTCATTTATTGTCTCAGGCCCTGGATAAGACGGGGGAAATAAAGGGGCTAATAAGAGTACAAAAATAGCACTTAATTCCATCTTTTCCACCCCTAAAGTTTTGAGATGTCCCTGGTCAGGATCTTACAAGTTATAAAGGAAGGCTAGTGCAAGAAGCATCCTGTGAGTTAGATTCTGTATCCACCTAGCCAGCTTTATTTATAGTGATAGTGCTACAAAAAATACAGGGATTTCAAAGTCAGTTCACACAGCACAAAAGTGAGGGGAAAAACATAAAACCAAGCATGAAATAATGTTTTTTTTTTTCTTTAGACAATTAAAGATGTCTTGAGAAACTTAGAGCATTTTAGAGAGCTCTAAGCATTTATCCTCCACATRTTCACCTGATTTAGACCTGGTGAAGTTGATTCCCGCCCCATCCTCCTCAGCATTAGTGTAAAACCTGTGCAGACCATGTATGCAGCACCTTATCTCACAGGAAATCTTAGTGGATGACTCACAGGCCCTGCAGCACCCAAGTAAGCTGGAGGAGCCCTCAGCACCTTGCTGAGGGGCGGCCTGGCTAACAACACATCTGTMTTCTCTAGAGGATTATATTTTTATTCCTGCTACCTAAAAGTCACAGGTAAAAGATGGGCATGCAGGCACAATAGTTTTTAGGACTTAAGGCTCCCACAGCCATGGATCTTCTTCCTAGGCTGATCCTAGCAATAAAGTGGGTGTTATGCACCCTGAGCACAGTATTAGCATATAGCTTAAGCATCAGTTAGCTTGAAATATTGCCTTCTTCTAGCAGTGAACAAAACACCTGCAGGAGGCTTTCACCCAAACCAAGCACAGAAATAATGCCTCCTCATTAGCAGGACATCCTGACTTCACATTTGAAAACTACCATTTGTATATCGGAAAGGTGATATGGAGAAGAAATGCAAATTAGAGCTTAATCCTAGGTTTGATCCAGCCTAATCCTGACTCCTTCTGTGGCCAGGCTGCAACTCCCTATCTCAGCTTCTCTTCCTGTGAATTGGAGAATCTGCTACTCCATTAACTTGCAGCCTCTCAGGGAAAAAGTCAGTGACTGAAATGTGAGAAAAATTAAAGGCCTACTGCAAGAAAAAGAAATGCTTCACAAAAGGTGAGCAGTTTTCTAGTGTTTTCAGGGCACAGCTGACTACTTTAGYTAGATATTAGCATTCATTGCTATGCAGCATATTTCTTAGGCAGTCAAATAACACTGGAAGAGAAAACAGGAATACTTCTGACTATGTATTTCTGGTGCAAAAAAAATCCGTCTTGCCTGCCTACTCTCATCATTTACATTTCCATATGCTTTATGCTTCTCAAGTTTGTGTTTTATGTGCTTGTGGGTGTTTTATTTTATTTTGGAGCATCACAAATGTGATCTGTTAGGAGTACTGACAATCCTTTAATGATTAATGTGCTGCTCCAATGTTTTGACGAGGTAAAGATAAAAATAAGACTTGTTTTCTGACAGAAGTCATACCACACATGGCATTCCGGCAGTTGAAGTCACAAAATGAAAATGCTCTAATACAGGATATAGTAAATATTACGTGTATTGCACACATGGTACTATGCAAGTTCATTCTGATGAATTGCATCAGATATAGCTTTTATCTTTAAAGAACTGGCAGGATTTGCACACAGAAAACAGATAGCCCAAATAATACCTGGCCCTTAACTCAGTCCTTCTTTGCTGAGGTTGGTTATGGCTTGTGAGGAATGTATTACACGGAATCTCCTTTCCCTTTGCTGGGGACTAAGACCAAGAGAATATTTCTGAAATGGCAGGAAGATGGAATAAATAACCTGATGAGTTCTTTCCATTTCACATTTCCTCTAGGCCTCAGGGAGAGGCAAAATCTGCCTGGAAAACAGAGGCCTCCTGCTTCTTCACCCTTAACTCATGCCTGGATTCCATTTATAAGGAAACTAATACTGAACTCGGTGCAATTGCGAATGTGAATTTCCAAGTATTATAGGTGCCTTGCTTCATCTCCCTTGTTTTATTGCAGCAGTCCTGTCAGGAGGGAGGAAGCGTGCTTCTGTGACCTCCGGATTGTGAAGCTGAGCATTGGGCTTTTGGAGCTTCGCTGGATGGACTTGGGGAAATGAGGGAAAGGGAAAAACGTGAGGGAGATGAAACAGGAGTCTGAGCTGCAGTTAGAATGACACAGCATCTTCCTACTCGATGGCTGGCCTCAGCAGTACTGCAAGCAACGTTGTCATGGGAACGTGTGTGAGAAACACTTCTCTCATTTTCACAAGTCTGCGCCTTCCTCAGATTATGCTTTATTATTTCCTTCATTGGCAAAAGTGCCTCAGTGAACGATACTGATAAATCTCTTCGCTTGTGCATGTCTTCCACGCACAGAGAGACTAAGTGGGCTACAGCATTTCAACCTGGAAAATGAATGACTGGGATGACTATGAAAATAAAATCATACCTGAAAAAAAAGCAGGTATGGAGAAAATGAATGAGCAAGCATTATTCCCTGTTTCTCACAGCTGAAGCACTAGAAAGCATCCTATGAAATTATGATGTATGGGGTTTAGCACAAACAAAAAATATATTTTCATTCAGATTGCTCAAGTCATTGTCACGGGATGCTTTTGAAACTAAAGGTATTAATTTGCTAAAAAATGGATTATAAAAATTAAGGACAGGCTATTTTTTTCTTTCTTTTTTTTTTTTTTTTCCTTGTGGCTGTTTTTCTGTATCTGATTTCTGTCTCAAGAGCTCTGTAAGCAATTACTGCACTAAAGTGCAGATAAATCATGGGAAGGTTCACTCCATAATATCCCTGTTTCTTGCAGGATCCTCTGCTGCCCTCTAGGTTAAGTGGGCCTTTCATCAGGCAAAGCAGGGCACTTCCTATAAGCAGGCGAGGCTGTAGAGCTAGCTCCAAGCATTTCTGCCCGGGATACAAAACATCCTATGACATGCAGTAGTTTGCAGTAGCAAATCTCTGCTTCCTCTCCCTGACAACGTGATTGTGGGGTGCAATGGTCCAAAACTGCCTTTTTGAACAACTGATGCTGCTACAAGTCATTCTGGATTATGATTTCATCTGGCCTTCCTTGGAAATTGTGCTGCTTTGGTACCTTTCTCCCTGTACAAATAGTCATGCTTAAAAGTGAATCTTATCTGTTATAACTGAGTTTCTCTGAGGTTACTACAAAAATGCAGGATCTTTGAAAAGGCTGATGATATCACCTAACTGTAGGAAAAAAACCCCACAAACCAAAACAATCAAACAACAACAAAAATATCCCAGATACCTGTGCTGGGCCAGACACCACAAACAAGCTGGATTTCAGCAGCTTTCAGTACTCATAAAGTACTCATATGAGTACTTTTCAGTACTCATAAAGTACTCATAAAGGTAGTTTGAAGTTGTCTCAAATGAAGCCGTTTCTTTCAATGCTGTATTGTACGTATTGAACTTGGATTGCCATTTTGGAAACTTAGATCCTGCAACTTTTTAAAATTTCAAATTGTACTTTTCCAATTTACAAGACACACCAAAGGTGCCTTTTATTGTTGGTTGTATTCCTTTCACCAGCACTTTTTCAAAGTCTCAGAAAAGGAGAATACAGAACAGACTGCTCTTCTATGAACAAAAATTGTTGTAGAATTAAACATCTTTAGTTTATTGACTGATAGACAGTACAGTCAACTGGCATCAGTTACCAAATGTAATCAACTGCTCCTGACGGACACGTATATTTACAGATGTCAAAGGGCTTATCYCAAAAAGGGCAAGCTAGCCTGTATCAGCAACTTCAACTTTCTCTTGTTGTGATATTGGTAACTCATGAAGACTGGCACAGTATCAACCAATAGGTATTAAGGGCTGCAACATCTTATAAAAATCTCTGAAGAACTTTCCACTAGACAGAGCATTCATATATAGTTTCTTCCTGCCTTGTTCTCCCTTAGGAATTTGCCCTGTGAACAAGAGTCTCAAAAAAAAAAGTGGGTCAAGGCACTTTGGAATACTCAAGTCTTGGAATCGTTGTAATTCCTAAAGAAGAACATTGCCAAATGGCTTGAAATCAATTGGATTGCAACATCCAAGTAACTCTCATTTGCTCTTCCTTAGGGGAGCACTGAGCCTGGTCAGCTTCCAAAAAAAGTGTGCGCTTAGTGTGCACTAAAAAAGTGTTACTTATTGGTAAATCCAAAAGTCACAAACATAAAAAGTGTTACTTATTGGTAAATCCAAAAGTCTTTATTCAGCATGATGTAATTTTGTCAATGATAGAGGATTCAGAGGGTTGCTCACTATTATCATTTTGTGTTACAGATGGAAGTAATGTTGCAAATACATTGGTTGTTTTCCAAATACAGCAAAGACTCAGGTCTTTCACCACTAAGGATGCAATTTCAAAAGACATGCCTTGCTCCCATCTGATACTAACAAAGAGATAGAGACACATGTTCTATATATTGTCCAAATTGTTATTTGTAACCTGTGCTGGTGCTCAACCTGAGGTCATCTCTCCCTTACCTTTCAGTGACCCTACAGCAGTACTGTCTTTGGTAATGTGTTATAAAAGTAAGGTCTGTTTCCCCTTTATGCCTTCCTATTTTCTTCTATGCTGTCTTTTAATCCCAGAGCACCTTTTTCCAATTGATTCATAAAGCGTAAAAATTTAATCAGTTCAAGGCTCACAGGTGATGCCTTCCTTGAAATTATCCAGATAAACTGCAGCAAAACCAGAACAATCAGACTAATCCCAAACTTTTCAAGGACTTCATGCTTTCCAAGGAGAAGTAGAACTCTTTATACAGACTAGCTGAAGGTTTGGTCCCTGGACAGGTACTTTACATTGTGACTCCTTTGCCATTACAGCATTTCTATATCATTATAGAAATAATGGGTTGATTAGGATGARTGTATTTGGATTTTTAAGCTAAGTAGGTGCCTTCTCAGTAGCTACACATTCATAATGTGCTCATGGCTATAGTATTTCTGTAGATTTGAACCTGTACATGGAAGATAWGTCCATCCTTATGCTGAAAGCTGCCATAAGGCATAGGCATCACTTAAGCCAAATTAGGGTCTGACCGGTGGAGTTTAAATGTRATTTAAGGAATGGAATGGATCTTAGCACAGGGGAAAATTTAGCTACAGAGAAGCTTTTATAGATGCATAGAGGACCAAGGTCCTTGTGAAACCAGTGAGAATTAGAGATACAATTACAGTTAAATTTGAGATCTGAGTGTATTCAACATGAACTTGATTCCTATTAGTGCAGCACTGGCAAGTCAGCACAGATATACAGGGCCAGATCTTCTCATGTTCAAGTTGCATGAAGGTGGACACTGCAGAATAAGGTCACTACCCCTGTTTGGAAACAGTGGTTCCTTATGGCTGGAGAAGTACTGTTGAGTCCAACTGCAACCACAKGAGCCACAAACCATTAGTCAGAGCCTTTGAATTCTTGGCTCTTAGAAATGATAATTCCAGGACTGAAATTGCAGCATTCCTTCCTGGATGTGCTACCTTAAGGAATGAAACACAAAAGACTGTGGATTGGCATGCGAATGGGTGAGTGTAACTGTCTGCTGGCCACACATGGAAAATGAGATGATTCTTAGTGGAAACCCACCCTGAAGCTTGTTGCTGTAAGCTGTTACCTGAGTAACTTTACTCATCAGCCGTTTGCGTCAACTGCATTGTACTTGCAAGCACTCTCTGGGAGCCACTGTCAGACTAAGGTCCCATAATTAATAACATGTTCATATGTGAGAGCTGCAGTGCACAGGAAAGACTTACAGGTAGCAAGTGCCGGTCCTTTATCGCTTGCCTCTTTTGACTGCAGATTGCAGGGAAGGGAGGAAAAGGGGGAGCCACCACTGAGATGGAGCCTTGGACCTTTTGCTCTCTGATATCACCTCGGTTTCGATGCTCTGTTTTGGAGAAKAAATAAGCCATGAGTATTTTTGAAGCATTGAAAACATGTGCATGTCTTCACTAACGATGAAACTGAGACATGGATAGGATGTTGAATACAGTTTCTCCTCTTCTTCACTGACATTGCTTATTATCGTAGCTGAAGAGGAGAAGCACAGACTGGACTCCCAACACCCTGGAAAGGCAATCTTCATAGCATGCACCGCTAAACTGTGGTGTGCATGTTGAAACTGAAAACATCAAGATATACATTAAAATCTGTACTTAATAAATAGTATAAAATATACCCCTCTGAGGGGAAAGAAGGAAAGAGTGCCAAGTAGGATTTCCTTGCTTGGCTGCACAGCCACACCAGGTCCTGCACGCTAGCTTGGCATCTTGAAGGTTGCTGCTGTGGTAGCTTCTTGTCCAGAACTACTTCTGGTTAAACAGATAAAGAGATAATGAAATCCTGATAGAAGAAATAGGTGAGACACAATTAACACGTTTAGGGTAAATTTCAGAAAATAGTTTCTCTCCAAAATATGCAGTCGTTTAGAGACTAAAACAGAGCAACACAGATGACAAACTGCCTGCTGAGTCTGCCTACCTGCCAGTAAATATGGAGGATGGGGAGTTGCCAAAACTGTGATTTGTCTCTTGAAAATGATGAGGCATTTTCTGCCAGCTGTCTCCCTGAGCCGTTGTCAGGCTTTCTCTTGCCCACGAGATGGCAGGCGCAGATCAGCCTGTGGCYGGGACAACCGCAAAGCAGATCCGCGAAGAACGGAAAAACCAAATTCTGTTCTAATTTTAACACTGCTATGACTGCAATTCCTCTTTATGGCTCTTTGCAGTGCTATGAAGACATACTGCACCCACAGTGTGTTTCTGAGCTAAAATCAGCTGAGAGGCTCAAGTGTGGTCATTAATTGGAACATTTTATCCAGCTAACAGATGTTGCACAGAAACAAGTGATCGATTATTGTTCTCACCTAGTAATAGTAATAAATGAGCAAGAAAATTATAGCTGTTGATGCAAAACCTACAACACCAGAGGCTGCTGCTGCTGAACATTTTAAAGGTGAACAGCATGAATTTTCTCCTTTATCACACAGAAGAAAGAGTTGTTGGCTTCCTTTTACTTATTTTTTTTTTTTTATTTCCCCTTGGTTAGATTGCCAGTGAAAGCTAATCTCTGCTCGTCTTTAACCTTCCCTGTGGGATGCTGTTCAAGGATTATCCAGATATTTTCACCTAGGAAATTCCCCTTATGGCAGGGATCCTGGTGACCTTGTTTGCTCCCACTCCCTCCTTGCATTACTTTATGGTTTTTGAGGCTCCAGGTCTCAAGTTAGTATTAGGAGGTGTTGCCTAACCCAGAGAGAAGAGAGCTGCTAGGTCAAGCTACCTGGGGTATGACATCTGGCTTTCAGCTGCCATCCTTGAAGGATGCGAGTCTTTTCCAGGACCTGTCTGATGCTTGCAGACCCCATGCAGACATCTCGGCTTCTGTGGAGTCTCTCTAATGCAACTAGGATTCCAGTTTTAGCCCTTGGAAAGCCAATCCTTATCTGTCCTCAAAGTGAGGTGTCTTTTAACATCTTATTAGCAAAGGAGACAAGATGTTCCTGTCAAAATAGGCAGCGCTTCAATTCTTTAGGGGCAGTTGTGTGAATTCACTCACATATATGTCCAACAAAGTTTCCAGAAGAGCTCTGGAAAACCAAAGTTAACTCATTTATTATTTCCATTTATTTTTCTTTTGTTTTCTTAGTAAGAAAAAATCCTATGAAAATAGAATAATATAAAATGGAAAAGTAAGGATTCCTTTTCAGCTCTACTCTAGGAATCATCAATGAGCCAAAGAGGACAGGAGACTTTCCTCAGTTCGATTTGTTAGGCTGAGTGCCCGAGTCCCTGCAGAGACCAGCAGCTCCTGCTGGTCTCCTGCAGAGTCCAGCTAGCTGTTTGCCAGAGCACCCATCCGTTGCCCTCGAGGCAGCACGTCGAGGCATCGCACGCGAGTGCCTACCTCTGCGCAAGGCTCGCAGGTTCTGCTTGGCGTGGTGGTGCAGCTCTTCCACACACGGCGGCCTCGTGGAGGGGAGGAAGATATTTCTTTGCTGATGCCAAGGTGCTCGGTAATAGACACTCAGTTTGCTCTCTGCATCCAGGTTGGAGACAGCTGCAGAAGGAAAACAAAACACAAGATAAGACTTTGAGCCTTTGCTATATTGATTCCCCCGAAAAGCAGAGGACCTCGCTTGGAGCAGAACCAGCAAGAATGAGCACTGACGATGCTGCCTCTTCTCCCACCAAATAACAGTGACCATTATCTTCTCAGGGTGTCTCTACCAGGGAATACCTAGGCATTGCCTTTTTGCTTTATCACACATGGCTGTAAGGAGGTGAGTAGGTGCAATACTAAATCAACATCAAATGTACGGACTGAGGGATAATAATTTGATATATGGCTAAATGAAAACGTAACGAAACTAAACAATGTTCACATGATAACATCTTGAGGCACAGCAGAGAGGACTGGAGTCCCATGTCGCCCAGGCTCCCAACCAGTCACCCAGTCTGATACCTCACTACATCGTCCTGTACTTCACTCATTTATGGCATAGTTTGATAGCTCTTTGCCTTCCAATGCTTAAAGACAGAGGTGAACTGACCATCCTGCTCAGTGACTTTAACTGTAGCCTGTCAAAAGATGTTATCTTAGAGGACAGGAATATTTGAGGGACAGAAACATCTCATTTCCTCTAGAGAGAATCTTCTAAGACTTCCTGGGAAAGTTATATGAACCAAGTCCATTTAAGGAAGGAGAAGATTTCTCAGGACGTACAGGGACTCAAGGGAGATGAGTTTAACTTCAGTGTATTCAGTAGCTACTTTTACAAGGAAGAAAATACTCCACAGTCAGGAGGACCAGAGCCTTAGCAGGGCTRTAGAGATCAAACTTGTCCCACCATGCCCGTGGCCCTCCAGAAGCATCAATGTACTTCGTTTTCTCAGGAGGCAACATCTCATTCTGGCCACTCCTGTCTCTTGTAAACCTAAAGACTTGCTCTGTTTGCTTACAGAACAGCACAAAATGATCCATCCTACTTTCTCACCCTCAGAAGGTGGGATGGAGGTTACTTATAGGGGTCTCCCARGCTAGCTGAGGAGTCAAAAAGCTAAAGTGTTTTGGATTGGTTTTCCCCCTGAAAAACACATTCCTCCCCCTTTTTTTCCCCAGGCACCACAGTGCCCTTGGCCCTGCTGTCCTTCCTCTCTCCAAACTCTGGAAGGAGATGCAGGAAATGCTTAAAAGCAGAGAACAAGTGACCTCAAGCTCAGCCCTGTCCTGTGCAACAGACACYCCCATTCAAGGAGGATCCGAACAGCAGTCTATAGCTCTATGTTACTGACTGCCTGTGTGAAGCTCCCTACTTGTTCCTGTTACTTGTCCGCTTACAGGAACAAGCATTTTGCAGCAGGGACCTCCCCTTATATTGCTTAGCAGTTCCTGGCAAATGTAGTTCCCAACCCCTTATCTGGCAGAGCCCTAGGCATTGCTGTGGCACGAAGAGAAGAGATGTGCGTCTCTCGTAAGATGCTATGGAGTGAAGCTGGAGAACAGAGAGGAGGCAGGAGGATGGCCAATGCAGTGTATTCTCACCAGCTCTCCAGTTAACTGAGAGAGGGCAAGTTTTGAGCAGTTACACATTCTCCAGGTCTTTGCACTCTCTGATGTGCAGGGCCGGTTGCCCTTTCTTGAGAAGCAGTCAAGCCAGCATGTCAGGGAGCTGCTCTCTAGTGGAGCCACTTTGCTCTTTCTGCTTTTGGTGGTGTCTTTAGTGTGAAATTACACTTGCTCAGACTGAAGATATATTGGTGTTTGGTACTGAGAATGACACTGGAAACGCTATAATAGAACTGGAAAAGTACAGCAGAGGAAGAAGAAGGGAGCAGATATAGAGAGAGAAACCTGGGACCAGGCTGTCATGTGCAGGATGTTGCAGACTTTATAGTCTCTTTTGATGAAAACAACCAAACAAAAAAGCAGCAAAAAACCTCACCCCAAAACAATATATTGTGAGTGATGGAAAGTGAGAGTAGTGGTATAATTTAGTGATAGACCTGCTGGAGATCAGGTTCTAAAAGCTTCAATGTCACTGACTGAAACCCAAATTCTGAGTCTGGTGGGAAGCCCCTCTGCTTTCCAGTGTAGTTTAGCTTAATTTTTAATCAGTTTTCACTATTTTTGCAGGATGTAACTGGTCCATGTAACTGGTCATATCGTACATGAACGTACCAGAATAAGAAAAAGAAGATTGGTGGTGGTGGGGATTAGGATGAACAAAAGTAATGTCTAGATGTTAAACTCAAGGACTTTCTTATGTTAGCGCCATTAATGTTAACATAATGTTGCCATGTTGCCAAATCACAGGTAGAATTTTTGACAGCTTTTCGGTCTATCACCACAGCATTAGCTGAATATCTCACTGCCGCTATTTGATGTTATATCTCCCTTACCTCTTAAGGGTAAGGAAGCACTACTCCTGTTTTACAGACAGAAAGTAACTTGTCCAGATCCCATCCATCAGCAGGAGAAAAATTTCTAAGTGATAGTAATGATGCTCCACCAATCCTTTATATTACTGAGGATATTCATGATCACAAACTGTTCTCTGGAGGCTAATGAAATATTAGAGACAAGCAGTTTCTCCATACTCCCAGGGCAAAAAAAAAAGAAAAATAGAAAAAAAACCTGTCTAGACTGCAGCTCTAGTAGCTGTCTGTGATGGAGTTAAATAAGTACGTGGAAAGTTTTCCCTACTTATGAAATGTTCAGACACATTTCATTAGAATAGAATAGAATRGATTTCACTGCAGATTTTAACTTGTGTGAAGCTCTCTTTGCTTCAGCAGCCGTGTTTTACAAGTAAGAAGAGTAGGAGTTGGCTTAATATACTTTGTGTGAGACTTAAAAAAGCACTCGAGTGAATACAGTTCTGCTACGCACCGGCTGTTCAAGGCACACATTGCCGTTCACAGATGAAATAGTGCTAGTGCAACCTCTGTGCCACCCAAGAAGATGTACCCTTTAGCAGGCAAGCCTTTCTGAGTATAGTGCTGTACCAGAAGAAAAAAGAAAAGAGCAAATATACAGCTTATCTCCAAATGATTGTGCTGTGGCCCTAGCTAGTGCAGATCTATGCATTTTCTCTGTTTTCCTACAGCATCTGATTCACTCTGCCAGTGAATATGCCCCGCTCACACCCAGAGAACAAGAATATTTCAGACTGTGCACTGAAGAGACATTTAAAATAGGAGTCACTGGAATGGATTTTCTGGGAGGCCAGAAGAGAAGCTAAGAGATGTGGCAAGGATGCTGTGTGGGGACAAATGCTCTCTGCCCGCAGCGTTGGGAGAAGCTTGCAGGGAGGCAGAAGCACTGGGGAGGMTGGAGGACAATGCTAGCCCAAGGACAAATAAGTATAAACTTGCCACATATGAAATTAGGCGGAATACACAGACTGCGTACCTGCTTTAGAGCAGCAAAGCTCAGGAACAACCTTCCAGAAAGGGGAAAGACACCAAAAAAYGGCAAAGCCTGAGAAATTTCTTCAGGGAACGGAAAGACTCAGTGGCCTGCGGAGGCTCCAGCTGCTGCTGCGGCCTTGCTGGCTGTTGCTTAGCCCTGTGGTCCTCCAGTTGCACCTAGTCTGGTGCCATCTAAGAGTCTGGGTGCAGACCCGTGGGACGTGAAGCAGCAGACGGAGCCGCACGACTGGAGTGCGAACTTGCAGGACCCCTGAGTGACTTATTTGGTCTTATCTCTTGCCTTTACTCGGTGATTTATATTGCGGCTGTTTTTACAGCGCCTTGCCTGAGCGTGGCTGCAGCCTCTGAGCAACACCATCACGTGCATAATGAATAAAGCAATACAGAAACTGTAAAGCTACACTCTTTAAATTATTAATGACTGGACATCAAAGTGAATGGGAAAAGCCTCTCTACATAAACAGGAAATACAGCATTCTGGATGTCACACAGGGCTTGCTAATATATTTTTAGTGTGTGCTTTGATAAATTTAGAATATACAAGTGAACAGTGCAAACAATCATGCTCATTTCATTCCTGAGTTAAAGTAATTGTTTTTTTGTCTTATGGGATGACAAAGTGGTGCAAGACCATTTAAATGGATTCCCCATTACACTCTGCGATTCCATTAATGTTGGCTGGTTTCCTGACAACCAATGTCAAACAGACATACTCTAATAACTGTTCTCATGGGATGGATTTGAAGATTCCCAAATAGCTGTTTTATCAAAATTGATCATATTTATCATTTATAGACCCTTCTCATAGCCACATTCTCTCTCTCCCTCTCCCTCCCTCCTCTAGCAATGCAAAAAAAAGAAGATAGAAAAAGGAGGCTGCCGTCGCAGAGCAGGATGTAGATGCTTGAAGGTTGTGTGGCTTTAGCGCACTCAGGCGTGCCTGTTCTAATAATAACACTGCAAAGGCCAAGCAAGAAAGATTTCTGCTCTATTTATTTGATAGATACCAGGGTTTCCCCCCCACAACTCCGTCTGCCTCCCTAGACGCGTGCCTCTCCCCACACCTCAGTGCCTGCTGCTTCTCAAGTCTCTACCCTGTTTTTTCTTATATATATATATATATATATATATATACATATATATATATATATATTACCAAAGCTACCATTAGATGCCAGGGAAGGGGGAAGATATTTTCCTGTGCTTCCTAGCTCAATGAGAAATCCCAATCTGATGCAGGGTGCAAAAAAGTACAGAGCCTGGAGGGAATATTAGTGGAGTGAGAGGCAGGCATCCACATGCTAAAGGGCAGAAAAGCCAGGGCTGCTGTGCCCCGAAAGACCATGCAAGAGAAGCTGGACCCACGGCTCCTGAATCCTTGTCAATGCATCTTGGGTCCAAAAGACAAAAAAAAAAAAAAAAAAAAAAAAAAAAGACAGTTAAACAGGTCTTGGCAGGTAACTAAGCCTATTGCTTATTCTTGAGTTATTCTTAAGAGAGGCTCTAAGGATACAAGCCCTTACCTCACTGCAGGACCTACGGGTGCTGGAGGCAGTGAGGCCCTTTTCCTGCAGCACAGAGGAGAGGGTGTCCAGTCATTTTAGCACATGACTTTTTTTTTCTGGTCATCTGGGGTAAAAACATGGCTTTCCCGTGATTCAGTGTAGCAACAAAGTCAGATATAGCCCCAGCTTTGCATAAGTCGGCCTCTAGCATCAAGAGGCAGCAGGATTCAGCCTAATCAAACTCTTCTGGACCCACTGCACAGGCTGGA